CTTTCCCACCCTATATGTCGTGAATTATTTGACTTGGCCTGCTCCAAGAGATAGTTGAAGAATAGACTGCTGCTGCCAATCTTTCTCTCTTGGGGTAGACTAGTGTTTAAATGTGAACGGGAACGTAAGGGGCAGTATGGGAAACGGCTTACCTCATACTCCCTGCCTGATTTCAAGAGAAAAACTGACTGCCAGCTGTGAGGAGAAAGAAGAACGCAGTACAAATGGAACGAAAAGGCGGGAGGGGAAGAGTTGGAGAATTGTTACCTTTTCCAAACCACAACCTGTTCTACGGACGCCAATTTCTCAGAATGCGAGGTGAATACGCAAAAGGAAAGAGTGGACAAAACTTGTTTCGTGCACGCTCTCTTTCTCTTTTTCAACAATGCGAACGTAACTTTGCACTCATTTCGCCTTCAATCTGACATCGTGAACATTGAACAGGGACCACTTGGCAATCAACCAATGCTCATGAGTGTCTACGCTCCTTTTTTGACATTTCTTTCGATGTTTTGTTGACGAATTTACCGAATGTTTGCTATGTTCCTTCAGGCTTTTAAGGAAGCAGAGACTCCGGACACAGAAGGTAATTAGTTCAATGCTTTGGATAATGCTCTACAAACAGATGTATGGGCTATTTTTGAGCAAAATACATCGGTGAAGTTAGTAGCGGAAACAAATTGTTGAGCAACTCCTTTAACATACTTCTCTATCACTTGTTTTCATGCGTTTTGTCTTCTTTCCTATGATTTGTTCCTTAATCTGAATGATTTTAACTTACATGCTGATGATTTGTACCCTTTAATTTTCGGGAATTCCAGAGTAAGTTCTTTTCTTCCCAACCCTCGCTATATCAGTATAAACTAGTATTCAATCTCTCCTCGACTGCCAACTCCCAAATGATTACTGGGTAAGAGTCTGTAACTGAAAGATTCACTCGTGAATATTGTGTTCGCAAGCAGTATAGTTCTGAAATTATGGCAGGATATATGGCTTATAGAGGGAAATGAAACATAGAAGGAAATATGGTTTTGTTCTTGTGTACAACAGGAGAGTATTTCTTCATCGATGAAGACCTCAAGGCTTATTCACAGTTGAAGATGGACTCCACAGGCAGGGCAATACTCACCATGTTAAGACACTGTGGGCGGCTCAGGGAAGTACGAGGCAACAAACTGTTGAGATATGTGCTGAAACTGTAAAGTACACTGACTGTTTAGCTGCTTTGTGTGTGGATAGCTGTTGATATTTTTGTTTGAATGATGTACTCCGATCCGTCATTAATTGGTGCGCTTCGCAGTAAAAATAGCTCTGGTAAAGTTTGGCTTAAATTAAAATCACTGTGCATTTCATTTTTTCCGCGCTGCCACAGAAATATTATTTACATCAAACACTTCATGTGGGTGGTTAAAGTAAAGATTGGTCAATTGACAGGCGCAATGCTGTAGTAATTAGTAATAACTGGAACCAACTACCTCGTAAAAGGAAAATAAACAACACCGTATTAAATACATCAACGTGCTGCTCAGAACTTTCATTTTCTTGGTCACACATTCAGGGTTCAACCACGGACGTAGAAGTTAGATCCACCTTATACAACATAAACAGTACCACGTTAAAGTACTGCTCAATAGCTTTGATTCTAGTGGTCGTACACTGGGGCTTTACCTGCTTACTTAAAAGTTAGTAGGACCTTGGCACCTTGTACCGTATGTGGTACTGTTAATTTATTACAGCGTAATAAACAGTACCACATGAAAGTACTGTTCAATAGCTTTCATTTTAGCGTTCACACAACGGGTTTAACCCACTTAAAAGTTAGTAGCACCCTGGCACTTTGTACGGCGTTTGGCGTTTTAAACAGTACCACATGAAAGTACTGATCAATAGCTTCCATTCTATTGCTCACACACTGGGTTTTGATCCACAGACTTGAACGTTCACTGCGCCTTGCATAAAATAATGAACAGTGCCACCTAGAGGTACTGCTCAGTAGCTTTCATTTGAATGGTCACACATTGAAAAGTTACAACCACCTTGTGAAGCACTGTAAACAAAACCTTATGAAAGTACAGCTCAGAATTTTGTATTGGAGCAGTATTTCTTTACCATTTCATTGACACACTTGTTTCGTAGATCCATACTTCATAACTAGAGACTAATCTGGGAGTTTAACTTTTTGTCAGGAGGGATTCCTGTTGTGAGAAGCTCC